AAGCAGGGGGTTGAACTAGATGACCATCTGAGATTCTATAGGAAGTAATCCATTCCCATCCTTAGCCAGAGGCTAGGGACACCATCCCTGCCCATCCATTTATGGACCTATACTCCATGAATTTAGATGGGGTGACCACATCTACATGAAGTATTCAAGATGTGGGCTAACCATGGGTTTATATATAGGCAATATGATCTTTTCTGTTTTATTGTCTATCCCTTTCTTAATGATTCCCAGCATCCTGTTCACTTTTTTGAATGTCACTGCACATTGAGTAGATGTTTTCAGAGAACTGTCCACAATAATTCCAAGATCTCTTTCTTGAGTAGTAACAGCTAATTTAGACCCTTTCATTTTATAGGTATAGTTGGGATTATGTTTTCCAATGTGCATTACTTTGCATTTATCAACATTGAATTTCATCTGCCATTTTGTTGCCCAGTCACCCAGTTTTGTGAGAAACTGCTACCCTGCTAACTTCCTTGTGACATTTTCCATGCCCTTGTTATGGTCTTTTCTATCAGCATCACTTATTTTGGATTCCTATTTTCCTATTCCAGACTCAATTGACTCCAGAGTCAATGGGCCAGATCCCCAGCTGAGGACCTTTCACAAGACATATCTCAATTTTCCCATTGTGAAATGGTGCTATCCGCACCAACTGGCTCTGCTGTGGGAAGGTCAGGCTAAAACTGCAAATATTCACAAAGCACATTCATGCCCCTGCTTGGAAGGTGGGATAGAAATGCCGCCAGGCAGAAGGAGCTCACCTGTAATCACAGTACAGTCCAAGCTTGAAGCAATGAGCTCTTATTTCTCAGGGTTTGGTCACCAGGACTCAGGTTCCTGAGCTGAGGTGCTTGTCTCTCATCCTTCTGCAGAATCTGGATCTTCTCAGTAGAGAGACCTGCGTCCACCTGAATGGATGAGCCGCTGCTGTGATCTGCATTAGAACATGCTCTTCCCCCTCCATTTGTTAAGTGCAGCGGTCTCCTGTCATTTGTCTCCTTCTCCTTGGCAGGCTGTGTCTCCCTTGAGTCCACCACTGAAGGGGCTGACCTGGGGAGTTAACAATGTGTTTTCTGTGCAGACAGTGCAAACAACTGTCCTGATGCAACCAACCTCCCATGCCCAGAGGAATCGCCTTCCAGCGCCCTGCTGTGTGAGATCACTGAAATGTAACACCAGGACTGACTGAAATGTAACACTGGGACCATGAAGTCCATGGCCATGCAGACAGTGACTCTGCTGAGTAATCTTTGCTCATGTCAGTTGTCCCATTGCCATCAGTGGAACAATTCCATGAGTAAAAATG